GCCGAGGAATGCAAATAGATTCTGTTTCAATTAAAGCCAGCGCGCTCTACCCCTGGATTCGTTCGATTATAATACTCGCATTGAACGAAATGGATAGATATACATTATATATTTCTATTAACAAAATAATCGATAATACAAACACTGCAGAATAAACACGAGACAATTCCGTATAATCGATTCATGTATTACAAATTATTTCGTGTTATCTTCTTATAATTAAGAAAGACTTCTTGATGTAATATCATGAAAAAGATTCATCAGTTTTAATAATGAATTATTGAGACGTGAATAAGATAATTGATTTATACGTGCATTCATTACATCTACATGCATTTCTCCAATAGAAGAGACATTTGTAATTGTAACAAAGATAGAATTATCATTTTGTACACCTAACGTGCGATATGATCAAGAATAGAAAGGCATTGCGAATGTGGTCTGCATAAAGTCCAGTATTACAAAAGGGAATACGTAATGATGTACTTAAAAGGGTGCGCAGGGTCAAAGGGAAGGTTAAATGTATCAAACTACGACTACGTGCGAGAAATACGTACAGAGAATTACGGAGTATTTCGAAATCTGACTTTAATCTTCGCACTGTCGACGCGATGTCGACCAGACCGACATCCGTCCAGAACCAGGAATGTTCGAATAATTATTTTCAGCAGATCATTATACGTTCTCTCTCGCCCTCTCTCTCTCTTTTCTTCATGTTGAAAGTATATGCTGTTCGGTAGCGGAAGGCGTTATAATTGAATAATTTATCAGCGTCCGTGATGAGAAACGATTAGCTAAACTTGGACGATACTTCCACCGGTTACCGAGGTTTCAAAGTGGCCGCTTTCAAAGTGGAAGCTTAATACGAAGCTTCACAGGACGAAGTTCGCGAGCTACACTTTTAAATTGCGCCGCGCAAAAGAGTTTATAATAAGGCGTACACCGGAGATTTACCGAGGGAAGAAGCACGAACTGTTGTCGATAGCGGAAGGTGCGGAGTTACGTTCATTAAATCATAAACGCGAAAATGGATAGTGCATAGTCCAGGGATCCAGGTTTAAAGTTTGACTCGTTACGGAGGAGGATATAAGGAAGAAGTAACATAAAAAAAGAGAGATAGGGAGAAGAAAGGGATAGAAAAGGGTGGTCTGGAAAGCGGCGCGGAACGAAAATGAGAAAGGTGAATGATGTAAAGAGCGTGCGTGACTCTTTATTCCTGGGATATTTGCATTCATGAATCCCGTGACGTGGAAAAGCCGCAGACACATGCAGCATTCATCGTAATGCGGCGCGGATTACTAGCGCATAATGTGATTTCGCCATATCAGTTTTTTCTTATTGTATCATCGCGGCATATATTGAACATCACGCAGCTTTGCGGTAAATATAGATATAGTTTTATGTTTATATTTTTAAATATGCAAATAAAATTTTGCGAATCTGTGTTTCACACAGATATAGTAAAGTAAAAATTATTTTATGCGAGCTCTAATCCTTTCAAAATTAATTATACTTTCTTTCTTTCTTTTAAAAAAATGTTTTAAATTTCTTTTCATAAAATATATGTTGTGTATGTTTATACATCGCATAATGTAAATTAGGCGGTGTAAATGTCAGATAACATAAATGTTCAAGGAAACTCATAGAAACGTCTGCTATGTCTCCTACATACAATAACCTGGCAGTAATCGATCAAACTGAAAAATGTCAGGAACCACAGAAAACATATTTCGCTGAAACCGCACTAGAATTTCGTGAAATTTTACGACCGAAAGTTAAGCTGATCCGACGAAGACAAAGTTCAGGGCTATTACCCTTGTCGTCAGAACGTGACTTGAATGAGAATACATGTAACTAAAAAAATGTAGGATTTTCCAGATCATATGCTGCCTTTTTCTTCGGAAAGAAAAAATTATACATATTTTTTTTCCTATGTACATATATGCAAATTATATTGATATTTTGAAAAAAGAACATGTAATATTATTTTATAGCTGTTATAATAAAAAAAAACGAAAATATTATATACACACAAACATTTATAGTTCATATAATTAGTAGAGCATATAATTCTGAGTCTCATAATAGCACTTTGCCGTAGAAAATACTTAAACTTTTACATAATATTTTCTTGTATAAATGTTACATAATTACACGTGATTAAATCTCCTTTGTGTTTTGTATCGTTTTCTTATTCTTAATTTCATCTTAATTTTTGCAAATTAATTCCAACAACAAAAATTATTTTTTTCATTAAACATATATGACGGAGCAGATTAATATAGAAATGATACGTGATATAAATACAAATTATAAGAAATAATCTGTAAAAAAACTTATTTTATTTTTTAATTGAAGTATATATCTGTGTGGTGCCATCTCACGATAAAGATGATAAGTATTTTTCAACTTATAATTAGATAAGTTGTCTCAATAATTTAAGTAAGTATTTAATTTTGTAGCACATATAATAAAAAAATAAAATAAATTACATATACTTAAGCAAATAAGTTTCTTCACAAAAGTTTTTTTAAATTATTATTTTAATAAAATGATTAAGAAATGTTAAAAATTTATATAATAAATTTTTTTTGAAAAATAAAATCTAATATATGTTTTATTTATTTAAATAATAAAAACAATAAATATAATTAAAAAGTATACTGTGCTTATATAAGATAAATTAATATTATTTATTTGCAAAAATAACCACGAATTAAAAAATAAAAAATCTATATGACAAAGTTTTATTTATTATATTATATTACATCTTTTGTTATTTATCATGTACATATATACATGTATATATGATCTGTCTGATCCACTGATGATTATTCTTCACTTTCGTTATAATCTTGCCAAAAATTATGCAATACTGATCTCTGCGAGCTATCATCTAATATAAGACATTAAGAAACAAATAAAAAAGGAGAAATTCATACCTGATATATAAGGAATAAAATTTGCACGAAATATTTCTGAAACGTCACTTTGATATCACTCGCGAATGTTCAACTTACACAATCCGAAAACACTCTCGCGAATTATCCCTCTACGATCGAAAGTTTATCACAAGGTATGTCGTATCGCGGCGCGGTTCAAAGATTTTTTTGGCACGAATAAATCGAAATCGCTCGAAGTGTTTTGATGTTGCGACGTCGCGTGTGCCATGGCGGTGCTGAACAGCTGTTCATCAACCGTAGGGGTTGTTTGGTAGAAAGAAGGGTTGGTCGTTCATTATTGCCATCTACCGTAGGGTAGTAGTACTGCTGTCATTTTTTATTTCTATTGTTTAACTTCCGCAGGAAATATCAATTTCTATCGCCTAATACTTCAATTATTAAATTTTACCTATTAATGTTAAATAATTCTGCTCTTGCATTGCTGTATTTAAAATTAATCTTTAGGATTATATCAATTTGTAGGATTGTTTATATACTCTTGCATTATAAATTAACTACATGTATAAGATAATTTACAAATCTATGTAATGTTTCTCCGAAGAGAAACTATTGACATGTGATGGTAAATTGTTAGAGATTCATCTCTCACAGATAGTTTCTTTAATATAAACATGGTGACAAACGTTTTGTTTAACTTCGAAGGCCAAATACCTGACAGAGATATCCTTGCATATCATCACGTACGATTGATATAATCAGATACGCAAAGAACAGTCACGCGTATTTAAATATGCGTTTGAAATAATGCAAACACGCACATATGAATATGCTCATTCTCGCAAATTTGGACAGAACAGGGGGTATTTAAAATTAATACTTACAAAATACAAAGTTAATCGAATAAATTAATTATTTTTGTAATAGATTTTTAAATGACGAGCGCTTTTAATTTAATTGTGACACATATCGTATTCTTGCGACATGCGTACGTTTAAATGTATCATATTCTAATGCAATTAACGTAACTCATTTTTTATGCAACGTGATATTCTCTACCGCATTCTTTTAAATTGCACGAGATTATCGTGCGAAATTACAATTAGTTTTTTCTACGCATCAAGATATATAACTTTTTTTACATAGTACATGTTCTGTATAAATTGCTGATATTTTTTTCTCGCCGAATTTTATTTATGCGCATTTAGATTGCAAACATTTATCAACTTAATTTTTTGACACTAATTAAGTAACATGTAAAAAATATCTTCATAATTTTAATTAAATTTCTATTTAAATAAACTAAAGTTTTTATTTAAAAAAATACATATTAATACCATATTATTGAAATTTTACATTAATTTTAGTATTAAAATCTTGTATAAAATTTTTTTATTATTTATTCTTATCTATTATTTTGTTTCGGATAGGGAGAATTGTGACTCTTTACGGTCCTGCTTCTGTATACCTATTTTCAATGTAGTTGTATCTACTCACGTCTGCACGTTCACGCACCTGTACATATGCAGCACCGTGTAATATAAATGCGACCTTGCGAGCGCAACAGGCGTCACTTCACAACTACAACTATAGCTCTACAGGCTACAAACGGGTATACGACAGTGGTAGAAGTAAATCCCCTATTTTAACGGCAACGACCACTTCTGCGATAGTACCGTAGCTGCAGCCCCTTAATCGGTTTCCAAATATTCCATAAAAATTGAAAAATTAAAATTAAATTAATTTGACACTGGATTAAAATTAATCATCTAACGCCAAATGTGATCATACGCAATAAGAGTGACAAATTTATACACACATTGAGCGGAATCATAATTACAATTTTCATACATACATTTGTATGCAAAATGGATGACGAAGAATATTGAAAAAAATTAAGAAATTGGAGTAGATGTTAAAAATGTAAAAATTTACATATATATACACGTGAAAAATATACAAACTTCTTCGACAAATCTTTCTTACGCTTGCTCACGTGTAATTCTCAAGCATAACGGTGCCCATCGAAAGACACCTTCAGAAGCTTCACTATTATCCATCACTGAAAACCGGCGTCGACCTCTTATAAAGGGAACCCACGCGAGAGCAGGCTGCATACCACGGCGGCGCGTCGCGCGCAAACAAAGTCGACAACTGTCAACCACGTTGCAGCTGCGATCGCACGCGCGCAATCGCCTGCGAAGCCATTCATGGGATCCCACAAGTTTCGTTGATGATCGCGATGACGTAGTCGGTCTCTCTTGGTACACGTCGCGATACGCAGTGGATATTACGAGCGCGTGCGGACCGAGTGCGTGTTTTTATACTTGGTGAAAGCCTCTCGAAATTCCTCCTCGCGATCGATGATGGTGCGTGTTGTTCGCAATTTCGATCGGGGTTTGGTGACCATGGTCTTCTAGAGCGTCTGACATCGCGTTGGCCATCGACAGGAAGAACGCGGGTGGATCTCTCGAGACGTTTCCAGTCACGAAGCCGCCAGGCGTGGATTCGCGTCGATTGTCGAGATCTCGTCGCTTCTCGCCGGATAGCAACTATTCTCTTCCTGCTTAGTCGAGATCTCGAGCTGCCGTTCGAGACTTGGACCGCTGCCGCAATTTGCTCCGAATCGGTGGAATCGTGATGGTACAAACAAGTTTTAGCTTCTTCGCATCGATATGCCACGAATGTATACCAATGTGAACACCAAGCTGTTATTGACTTAACGATTAACTTTGATATTACAAGCCTGATGTATTGCGTGTGAAACAAGCTACCTGACGCAGAGATAATGATAATTCTTCCCAGAATTCGAAATTACGTGCGCAGAATTAGACGTTGATAATATAACAGATTATTTTTTTATCATTATATGATTCTCTCTGATAAGTACACATTTATCTTGCCTCGACAATCAAATTATAAAAAGACATTATACTGATGTGGATATTTGTTGCATATATTTACCGTTATTATTTACCGTTATTGAAATTTCAACAATTTGCAATTTGCCAAGCAACATGTTTTGAATGCGTAATATTATCGGGACGAAATTCTATTCGAGTTATAGCACATAAGAATCGTAATAAGAAATTATCGTGATACCTAAATCGAAGATGTTGTTGTTTTTTCTTTACTTCAAATGATACACCGAGCGTTAAAGTCTCTATTAAGAAGATGAGAGATGCCAGAGACGTCTATTGCATTTGGCGCATCAATTCTCATTAGTTAATGACACGGTAATCGAGGTCGGTTTCTCGCTCTGATCTCTAGTGTTAAATGTGATTTTCTTCGTGGTATTCCGCAAGACTTACAACGGGTTAGGTCGCGCGATTGCTCGAGATCAATCGAACGTAGTCACGACAAGGCGAGGTCGTTTTTTTTCTTCACGGGGAAAGTTCGATCGTTAGCTCGTTTCTTCGACGTTCTCTCGGACATCCTATTTCTGCGCGAACGCGATTTTATTGCCTCGAGAACGAAAGGATCGTATGGCTCTTGTCGAGTCGGAACAACTGATAATCACTGGTTGTTGATGATACAAGTATTGCATTGCTTAATGAGAGAAAGCATACTGTGTTTACGACCAAAGAGTTTTACGATCGGAAGATTGTCCACGTCAAGAGAATCATCCGGAATGTAGCTAGCACAATATCTCCGAAACTTTCTTTTATGAATAAATTCATCTTTTGATATTTATGAATAATTTATCTTCTGAAATGCGTCGTTAAATAATGTAACGTGTAGTCGCTATCAAAATGATTGAGATATTTTTCTTCCTTAAATACTTTTAAAGAATTCCTATGATTCAAAGCTGATAAATAAGAATCATTAATAAAGTGTTAAAATATTAATTATTGTAACGTGGGATGATTGTGTTTACATTTCAAAATAGGCGCTATTAATAAAAATAAAAAACTTGCATTTTAATGAATACAAAAATTCTTGTCGTTGATTGTAGTAAATAAATTTGTGCGTCGAAAATTATATCTCTGGATTCTAGACGATCGAAAACAGATACGGCGTCGCATTATATACGCGCGCATATTAATAGCACACCTTTAGCGTACAGCTTATTGCCGTAAACTCACGATAGAATTTTGCAGCTCTCAAGGACAACGTTACCAAGTCCTCGGTGATCAACCGTTATCTAAACGATCGCTCATTTGTCGATAAGCAGTAATTGGGATCTCGAGAGAGAGGACAATCGCGCGACCATGGCGCTGGCCAAGATCAGGAATTTCATCGATACCAATCTGAAGACGGTGTCCACACCGTTGGATCGCACGGTAAATTTGGAGCCGGAGGTCGGCATTAGGATTGTACACTCGCCAAACGATAAGACGCTCCACGTCACTGTTCTCGGTGCCAGACACTTGCCGCAGAACTTCGGCTTCACCAGAGTCAACAGCTACGTCGTAAAGGTAAAGTGAACGTGGCTCGAGAATGTGGATCGATCAAACATGAGACGCGTAAACGTCTCATCAATAGCGCGTATATTCTCCACGCACTACATTTAACGCTGTATATAACATTCGAATTTATAAATTTGACGTAATAATTATACTTTTCGATCTTTGCGTTTACATAATCGCGTTTATCTGTATATGAATAAAATAAGAAAATTTTTCGGAAAACACGTGTCGCAGATCCTAACATTTTTATGCACACTGTAAGATCGCGATTTGTTTCGCTCCGTACTTTGAATTACGCATAAGGCACTAGTCGGAGAAGTTATTGGATATTATCTATGATTACGTAATATGACGAGAGTATTATATTGTAGAAGTCCGGCATTGACTATAGCATTATTATAGACTGATGAGTGTTCTCACTATTTCTTCTGGTCGCGCGAATGAAACGATATATAGTCTATCATTATTTATATATATACATACATATATCGAAAATCAATTAAACATTTTAACATATTTTTAGAATACATGATAATCCATAGGGATTTTTAATGAAATTCATCAGTAATATTATAACTTGATTTATCGCTAGAGGAAAACTGAATCAGACAAAATATAAATTGCTAAAATTAATTTAAAAAATATATATTTCAAAGAATACTTTATTTTAATTAAAGCAAAATAAAAATACATTTCAATTTTATTGCTTGTCTATCTTATTAATTTTTGTTTGATTCATAAATATTTTTATCTTAAAATTCTTGAACAATGAATTATAAGCAAATTAAAATTTGCTATTAAATATCGAAGAAAATATTGTAATTTCAAGGTTTTTTAATTTCTAGGTGAAGCTGATACCTGGCAAGGAGAAATTCGAGACCACTACAAAAAATGAATCCTGGCCACAATGGAACGAAGGATTCACTTATCATCTACGCAAAGAAACCAAGCAAAAGTTTGGCAAATCGAAGGTCGTCGAGGAGGAAATCAACGGATCCAGATTCATCGTCGCGACGCTCTACGCGATTCTCGAAGACAAACCGCTGATCGCGACTGAAAAGAAAGAAGAAAAGGAGAAAAAGTCGCCTACTAAAGGAGATTTGCAGAAGAAAGGCGAAAAGAAGAAGGAGGGTCAAAGCGGTTCCACCGAAAATCAAGAATCCACCAAGAACAAGCTTCTCAACCAATTCTTTGGCAAAGGTTCTGACAAGCTCGCGGAATCTACGACTGTGGAGAGAAGAGCTTATGATAAGAGACGAACCATTGGCGCGACAACGATTCCGCTCGATCCGAAAAATTTTGCCTGCAAACCACCAAAATTGAAACATGCCAGCGATGTATCTACGGGAGATTTGTGGAAACCACTGCGACCAATTGCAAGTAATATCTCAGGTGCCGAGGAAAGAGTAAGTACTTTTTTTAAAATTGCACAAAATTATATTAAAATTGTATTTAGTATCTTTCTTCATTTTCTTCTCATTTTAAACAAACCTATGTGAAAATGTGGATATACATTTATTTTTTAGAAATATTGATATCTTTCTTTGCAATATACTGTGTATTCTTTACATCTATTTAATTTGATTAAAATATTAATATGAGGCAAAATATAATTTCAGAAGGAGAATAAAAAAGGACAGGTCGAATTATCATTGTGTCTATCGAAAGGTGAAAAAGACGAAGATAGCGGCGGTCAGCTGGTACTGTCTCTCCATCGTCTGAGATGTTCGCTTCAGACGATGCACGAGCACGAGGGTCTGAAAGGACAAATGTATCTGAAAATGTCGGTTGTCGATAATGGTCGGGTAACGCATTTCTGGAAGAGCGACCGATTCACGCCGACAGTATCCACGAAATTTTCACCGGAAACGGCGAGAGTCGTCGCCGACAATCCGTACAAAGGAGCGCTCAATGACGTGAGCTTCGTCGTGAAATTCGTCTCGAAGAATAAAATGGGTAAGAACACTGAAAATTCTATTTTCATCGTATATCACTGGACATCATTTTATTATGCAATGATATATTTCTACCTTAGGCAAGAAAACTCCCGTAGGCCATTTCGTACTTGGCCCTGACGTCGGCGGAACTTATGGCGAACAATGGAAGCAAGCTCTAGCGAAACCGGGGCAAGAGATAACAAAGTGGCAAGCGTTTGAATAAAAAGGAGGCGTACGAGCAATAATTTATTCAACACGATGAAAATCATTGCAACCGTTGCACTATACGTACTTTCCTTTTAGATATCTAGAGACACGGGCAGTGAAAATGAGAGCACTATATACGTGCGCTATAAATATTTGAGATACTGATCGATAAAGCTATTCCAAAGAATACTATAGATATATACGTAAATTCGAACATTATTACGTGTACATTTCTCTTGTTACGTACATTTACGTTTTAGGATGTCTGTTGTCGATTTTACATGAGATAAATTTATTTTTATTATACGTAAATTTATTTTATGTTTATACACAAATTGCACAGATTCTGCATTGCACACAAACCCTTTTAATCGTCCTCGATTCTATAAAGGAGAGAACTGAATATTATTCTGCTTCGAGTTCGAAAAAATGTAACCGTCCGTAAAGTAAGTAAGAACTCTTGTCTAATACATACATGTATAGTTAAAAAGAAATAATCGTAATGTTATAAGTACAACATATCATACTTTGTAAGATTGCGAGAACATAAGTTCACCATGTTAATATGTTAAGTAATATTTTTGTTAATACTGAAATAATTTCTATTTAAAATTTAAAATATTCAAGAGACATTATATTGTTGCTTACAAAAATGTACTTTGAAAAATGATATACTTTTTTGATAAAATGATAAAATGAAAAATCTGTACTATAGTTTTATACGTAATGTTAAATGCTCATTTTTATTATCGCACTAGTTATAAACGAAACAAGCGATCAATATTTGGAATCGATATTTTAATAAAATTAAAAGCCATTTTAAATTGTGATAAATCGAAATATCCACTAATTATTTGTACATTTTATAACAAGTAAAGTATTTAATATATGTAAATGATAAAACAACGCAGCAATCTCACGAAATATATCTCTATAATTAAACTATATCTTTTTAAAGATATTGAGTATTAATTAGTATTTATATCTTAAATAATTATGTTAGTCAACAACATATATATACGTACACATAAAACAATATATTATTTCGCACATACATATGTTTGAAACATTTTTTTTACTTCTTTATTATATGCAAAAATAAAAATATCTTTATAATTGTAAATATATTTAATAATATATATTATATATTGAGACAATTTTTTATTTATTCTCTATCGTGAATATAAAAAAATAAGTTTTTCGGGTTTTATGTTCATAAAGGCAATATCAATTTTCTGATTTAAAAATTATTTTATTGTCTGCATTTCATATAATTTCGTTTAACAAATTTGTAGAAAATTTCGAGTATAATGTATTAAGTGATATTGTGCTTCGTATAAATAAAGTATGTCGCTAATATAAAATATTATGAATAGTGCCTTGTTTGTATGGCAGTGTCAGCAACTACATATTGCTAAAGAATTATGTACAAAAATAATAAAAAAAAAATGATAAAATGTATTAAAACTATTTTAACCGTATAATTAAGGGACGGATGATTAATGGACGTTTTTAATAGCTGTTTAACTATTAATGTCTAAAATTGTGTTGTAGTTGTAGTAGACATACACATGTACTATAATATAAATATTTTACTAATATTAAAATATTAGTAAAATTTGTATTTTGTACTCTAATATAAAATGGAAAAAATTTTTTAAAATACATATATATATACATATATGTACATATACATATATGTAGCAATAGAAAATATATATTTCTATAAAATATGTAATTTATATTGATAAAATATTGCTTAAGCCAAGGTAAATGCTATTGACTTACTGGAAGTTATTCCTTCTTATAAATATTTTTAAAAAATTGTCATTATTCTTTTATAGTAAGGCATACAATAGGCACTTAGATGCTTTCTCTCAAAAAAAAGATTATAAAAATTACAAAATTGCAAAATTATAAAATTACATTGCGGAGAGACCGTAGTATCTAGTATCTATCAATATATTTGTTTAAGTTAACCTACCTTTGAAGTTCGATGTGTAAAATGTGAGAGGAGTATTTATATAATAAGTACAAGTAAATCTTGAACTTTAAAAACATTACTTACTGAAATCTAAACTATCCAGTGTAAATCAGATCTGTTAAAACTTTCTGGCTAGACTTTTTTAGACAACGAAAATATATCGAACGGTTGTTATCAAACCGATTAACAAGAGCAACCAATTTCCATGTTGATATGGCGCTAAATTACAACCATCTTTACTGTTACATGTACAATATTCCATAAATATATTATACGTTCCAGTTCGCATCAAACAAAATCGTTCGTCACCTGCAATCCCGGGTTCACCCATATAAGCGCAGCTACGAAAATATCTCCATTCACCATTAACTGTAAAGAAAAATTGACAAAACACAAAGTGTAACAATATCGTGTGATGAGTCATACACTTATATTTTATATTTCAAGACGAATGACCTTTTTGACGAATTTTGCGACACATTGTCGGTTTTACACCTGGTAAATGGCCCAATTCAGGCTCTTGTTTACAATCTGTAATAGGCACAGTGGAATTGTCAAACGGATCCGCGCATTTTGGATCTGAGTCTGACCTGCATACCCAACATTTGATAGAAAACCCTGAAAAATGCGATAAAATCCTAAATACTACTTTCAACTATAAATATATACTTTCCTTAATTATGTTACAAAGGTTGTATTTATTTAAATACAACATAATATACATTTGTTTCTGTGAAACAGAGGTTAGAAATATGTCTCAAATATAAAATTGTTATCAAAGCTATTGCGCAAAGCTCTGTAAGAATATCAATACGTACATATATAAAGTACGTACATCTATAAAGTCTCAATCTTTAATCAGGTTACTTGAAGGTTAATCTATAATAAATAACCGAATTTAATTATTCCTTAAGTATATAGCTGACTTTATACCTTCTTGGATGCAGCAAATAAGCAGAAACACTGTCGCGAGAAGATAAAAACGATTTCCAATGGCCATTTTAAAAAAAAAAACCGTGATATGTTTTATCTCTTTGCTCCGAAAATTCTTCCACGCGAGAGATTCAATTCCTCCAAACTGCCACAAACATTCTCTACATATTCTATGTGTCCACGCCTATAACTGACCGTGCGCCGCGCTGTCGCCCGATTATACCGGGTGTTCGAAATAATCCGAATGAATTCCTTTGTTGCCGAAAGCAAGAGAAAGTTTCAGACAATGATTCATAAATTTACCATTAATTTCTCTAATATTATCAAAGACCTATATGCGTTAATAATTGTCGAAAGATTATCAATTTTTAAATAATATTAAATAGTCATGCAAAGTATTTTTAGTATTGTATATAAATATTTAAATAAACATTTAATAAAACATTTTTTCTTATTATATAATAAATATGCTTTCTAAACTCAAATATATTTAACAATCAAATATATTGAAACCACTGTATAGAACCACGTCAATAATTGTTTAATTATCACAATTACCCACTCGAACTCACTTCTAACGTGTGTCTTACAAATAAGTCATCTATGTAAATCCATATTCACTATCGATACTTTAATATTATGTTTGACAGATTGATAAGAATATTTTTCAAAAATATTCGAAGAAAGAAATATATTAAATTTTTAGGAATTTAAAATATTTTTATATTATAAAGGAATATAAGTAAACTTCCTCGACAGACAGTCTCTTTTATACGTTACTGAAAACTTCGGGTATCCTCGGAGTTACATCACGCGTGACTCGAGTCAACCGCGCCCGACATATGCAATCTTTCTTGCTATAGTATTGCTGGTATACAGCCGCGTGCATAAACGTATGTAAAAGCATATTTACCAGAGGGAGAAATTTTATCGGTAAACCACATATAAAAAAATGTAACATGAGAAATGTGGTATTGCATCTATACAAGTCTATAACAAGAATATAAATAAAAATAAAATCAAAAATTAACATATACATATATATATATATATATATTAAAATTTTTAAATAATAAAAAATTGCATTATAAAATTGATTCTGACATTATATAAAAAAATTATTTTATCTATATTAAAATTTTAATTTTTTCATTAATACTTATTAAACTTTAAAACTGATCAAAATATAAAACAAATATAAATACATACAAATAGATACAATACTATAATTTTATACATGTAGATATGTACGAGAAAAACGGTTAAAAAAAAAGTATACCGACAATAAACAGTAAACTGTAATTGAGACTGCAGTAACTGTCAATTGATTAAGTCAATTATCTAATCATTCAATAGTTTTTATCAGACAAACACGATCCTATCTGCACCAACATGAAATAAAGTTCAATGCCCTCACACATATATAAAAAAAAACAATATGTTTCTGAGAAGACAGGACGCAACGCTATTACAACGAGCATTTGCTCGTTCAGAGATTCGAAGCCCGTTTGCGTGAAAGTATATCTTATCTTCCCTTTCTTTATTCGCGATCGCGTCCAGGAGTCTGGATCGTGAAACTCTGAATCGACTGGTACGTCGATCGTCTCCCCCTTTTCCCGCAGCATCCTCCAGCTATCTGTATCAGTCTGAAAGAAGAGAGCGATCTGGACCCCACGGATCTCGTAGCCCGCAGCGAGCTGGATCGGCTGCTCTCGCTCTTTCGCGGGTGGTCCGCGCCGACAAGCCTCCGTGTTCCGGGGGCCGAAAAACATTTGAATGCTATAAATAAATATAAATAAATTGATTTGCTGACATTAGCATATAAGTAGCGAGGGAGAAGACGGCGACTTCGGCATCTCGCCGGCCGCGTCTGTCTTTTCCTCTCTCGGCCGCAAGTCGGAGGCCGGACATTGATTTATATCGGTGTCCCTTCGATTCCCGCGGCATTCGCTCCGTCGACTCTTCTTCCCTTTAACTTAAAAGGGCACGGGACTACTATGGGATCCGCGCATCCCGTCTCCTTCAGTCTCGAGCTCGTGGGAATTAATTCGAGAGTAGCGCTGTGTTCTTTATATGTCGCTATGCGCCATTCGCATCTCCGACATCGGTTCCGTATTTTGCGAGGAACAACGTTAAAATTTTGAATACCGTTTAGTACCGTGTCTTTATTAAGCTATAATAATATTGGGCAAATTATAGTCCGGGGAATCCTAGGAATAAAGTCAGTCTTTAACTTTCAGCCAATTAAAAGGTAGAACAGCGCTCTTTTATTTATTTTTTAAGAATAGAACAGACAACAAAAATTAAATTATATATGCTTAAATAAGGCATCCCAAGGGATGCATTAAAAGTTAATAAACGAGCGTCAAATATTCATCTTCCTAGAATTTCAGGATGGAACAAGCATGTAATTTCGTTATAAGATAATGGGAGAAACAATAAAATCATAATGATTTATTTATTGCATGTGAAAATTGTATATGCATTCCGAAGCTCTCTCTTATTCGAAATAACAATCAGTAGAAATGGCAATTGTATTTTTTTCATTATTGGCGCAATAAGAATCAATATACGCTACTGGCAAAGATTAATGATTTGCAAGTATTATGCGGCGAAAATTGTTATTACGCTTTCCTAAAAGCAATTTTGCATAAATGCTTTAAATTATGTAATTCTCATTTTGTCTTCAAAAAAGCGAACTTGCTCAGATATATATCTCTTATTTGTATCTCTTTATTAATCTATAACACGCACATCCGCCCTTTTTACAATTGTTGATATTCACTTTTGAGTTTAATCTTTTCGCAGTCGTCGTCTCGACTATATCTGAGCAAGTTCACTTCCTTGTTGAGATATCTATCTCTTTATTAATCTATAACACGCACACCCGCCCTTTTTACAATTGTCGATATTCACTTTTGAGTTATTCTTTTCGCAGTCGTCGTCTCGACTATATCTGAGCAAGTTCGCTTCCTTGAAGACAAAATGAGAATTACGCAATTACATTTGTTCTGGGCCATAGTGTTTTCCTGCCTCGTCGAAGTTCGAAGCCGTTTCTCTTTTCCGCCTAATAATCATTCGGGCAAAGACTTCTTCGCGGATATCCTAAGCGAAGTGCTGCGAACGTCACGAACGAAGGACGCTCTCTTCATACTTGGAGACTTTTTATCGAACGGACAGACGGACGATATTCTCGATAAAATATTCGCGACGACAAGTCAACGCGTAGCGAGCCTTTACATAAACGCGACGGATCAGTCGATAGCGTCTCAAGTTTCCTCCTGCGGAATGTCACGCGATCTAGTCGTGTATATCCATGTCTCGGAGCGAGAGCTGGATATCGTCGAGAGCGAGCTCGTAGCCGAAGACATAAGACGCTTCATTCACGATCGCGTCCGGCCCAAGGTACTTGTACTGATGATCCAACTTCGTCGATCGTGTCGCGATCTCGTACCGCTCTTCCGCGCGATGTGGTCGAGGAACATCCTCGACGCGATCGTTGTGGAATACTCCCGAGTGTCGGAATACCCCGAGGAATACTCTACGATCGTTCATCGGTACGACCCGTTCACCGACAGCCACCACGAGGAACCGTATTCCGCGAATATCACATGGTTCACGGATGACTTTCCAAATATGCACGGTTACCCATTGGTTTACGCTTTCGCTAATTATCCTCCATATAGTTATGTTATCGAATCGGGCGCGAAACACGAATTAAAAGGCATAGATAAGATCCTGATTGATATCCTGGCGGACAAGATGAACTTCACCAAAGTTCCCAAAATAATACTGAAGAAAGATTTATTATTCTTCGAAAGGATGCCTAATGGCACTATGATCGGCGTCTTGTCTGACGTAGCCTCGAAGAAATACGACGCCCTTCTGATTTCGCTGCCGATGTGGGGAAATGTTTACTACCTAGGACCACCGCCAGCCGTGCAATATGCTTATCCTCTCTTCATCCAGAACTGGTGCTTCGTGGTGCCCAAGGTGCTCGCACAGCAGAATTTTATGAGCAACATTGGATTACAAATGTTGGTTTTGAATTTCTCGATCATAGGAATCTTCTGGTTGTGCTCGCAATTAATGAAGTTCAATCCGAGATGGCACGTCGCGAAAATTATCGGTATCATGCTGGCCGCGTCCTTTCCACCGCAACTCACAAAATTACACGAACGAATCATTCTCCTCAGCATCATCGGCGTCTACGCGTGCTACTCCTCGACCCTCTTCGCCGAATTGACGAGCACGAGTTTCAAGAACAATCGCTACGTACAATACGATAGTTTACAAGATTTAATAAATTCCGATTTCGTATTAATGATTCACGCGAATATATTATCAATTATGTCTCAATTCAGCAATCTTTTCAAGACTTACAAATTAGATAAGATCATAACCTTAGCTCATACGGAATCCTGCCTTGAGAATTTGTTGATGCACCAGAACGTCACTTGCTTTATGGAAACAAATTGGGCCGAATTGATTGCGGTCAATAATATGCGAAATGATGAGACTATATTGGAAGTAACGAAACTCTGTTATCTGTCGCCACCGTCCGCTAATATCTTTTCGGAAGGATCGCCTTATATAAGACGCTTCAGCGAGTTACTTTTAATGCTGAGGGACGGAGGTATTCGCGATAAGTGGTACCGTGAATTCATGAGGAACGAAACGAGGGACACAACTGTTCAGACAAATCAAGATCATACGAATTCTATGTACGTTAACATATTTCATCCATTGATTTACATATTGATAACGGGATATTCGGTCTCTACTCTCGTTTTCATCGGCGAATTGATTTGGAAATACCTCGACATCGATTTGAATCTACGTAATATATATGATTCACTAAAATCGAAGAAACATTTGAAAAAGAATAAACGACGACATAATTAAAGCGAATGGTATTGCGAGTTGTTCCAATGTTTGTTTCGCTACTTTAATAATCAGAGACCGACATTAATTAATATGACATTTTAACTTGAAGAAAATTGGTACCCTCGAGGCGGCATTATCGAATAGAGCGAATTGCTGCGAAATTTATGATATATATCACAATACCGGTGGCGATAATAACGCGTACTTTAATCGCGTCTCGTGCTTTGCGGAACGCAGTTAATCTTCGTTATTGCGCGCACGTCGTGTCCTCGACATGTAATCGTTATATACGGCGCGAGATGGACGCGAGCAATTTTAATCAATGTAACAGTTTCCTCAAACGAGTGGAACGCCTCCGGATCTGCTCTTTGCGAGCGTATATCGTTTACATGAGTCAGTCTCGCTCGTATCGAAAGACGGCCCTCGTTTCGAAGGAACGAAATCACCGGCCTGAAGGCGGGCTTCATGCTGCTTTGCTTCAAAAACGGTCGTTTTCGTGTAATCTTCTTGCGAGAGCGGGGCGTGGTCGGACCACAGGGATACTCTGATAGGCAACTGCGACGTGTGTCATTAACCGAATCCTTCGAGCGACCCTGATCAGTCTTCTCATCCTACCCCTTTTTTTCGGAATTGAATGAATAAAATTTTAAATTACGGAGGCGTGATTCGAATCTCAAACTATGTACATATAGGAAAAATGTCTGACACTTTGTCTCGATATTTAAAAACTCCAACAAACTAAAGAAGTTTCGTTGAATAACTTTGATTAGTTATTATGATTAATAGGACTAAGGCGTTAAGTGCAGTTATTTCTAGGATTGGCATCCCGGCGATTGCTTCGAGATTTCTCACACATATTTCATTGTCATTTCGCGCTAGATGCGCGTCCGAGTGACCTAAATGTTCATAAATACTACACGAAGAAATAAACGCTTAATATCAAAGGCGGCTCGAATATCTCACAATTTTCTCGTGAAAATTCTTTCATGGATATGTATACATCAATCATGTAAATATACAACGTGCATATTTCAGTATTTCGAGTGAAAAATTTTTAAATATCTCCATTGATATGAGAACTTAAACGGGGTGTCCAGGAGACTCAATGAAAAATAATTCCCTGACTTTTTCAGATTTTCCAAGACCAGAAATTAATTTTTTCCCTGACTTTTTAATATTATTTTTTCCAAATATATAATTTGCATATATAGCTATATGATAAATCAATTAAATGTTAAATCATGAAATTCTTGAAATATTTTTGTCAACAATGAAAAGTTTCAGAAGTTAAAAAAACAAAAATTTAAATCAATATTATACAATCTGCATTATGTATGATAATCGAAACAAACATGTCATTATAAACTATTTAAATAATCACCTTTTTATTTATATTATATGAAATTATTTAGTTTCATCTCTATTAAACACATTGAAATCAAATAACACAATGATGAAAATATAAATTAACGAACACGCTGTAGATGAATCGATTTTTAACAACACAGAAAATTAGCGTGCTGAGAATCAAGGAAAAATTTATATTTATTTAATAAAAAATTTCAAATTATTGAGACAAATGTAGAATAATGTGAAAAAATCCAGGTAAATAATAAAATTTCCTGACTTTTCCCTGACAATTCCAGATTTATAAAATTCCCTGACAATGCCCGGTTATCCAAATTTCCCTGACCGCTAGACACCCTGTTGAAGATAAAGAATAAGGACATTTTTTAATAAATTTCTAAAAAAATTAGTATCAAAGAGGCTCCATGTTATCGGAGCAAGACCAGTTCGGCCGACAGACGCTTCTCCTATCGTTTACCGAACCCTGTAGAATAAATATCACATCGATACGAATTGATATCGTCGATCGACCGTAAACGCATCTTCAAGAAACAGAGACAAGCCTACACCTTCCGTCTTCATCCCACCTCTAACCGGCTGTTCCCGCCGCAGGATCGCCCTCCACTTCCGCCTAGCTTGGCAGCCACTCCTCTCAGCAGCCTCCGTTGATACTTCCTCTCGCGCGCGTATATCTCGTCAGTCGGCCGTAAGCCACGTGCGTGTGCTCGTTCGAGTACATCCCGCGTGAGCGATATATCGGACAGAGTCATTTCGCATTGACGAATCGCGCTAGCCCACTTCCGATGACAGATAAGACTCTCGGCGCGAAGTTACTAGTGCAAGAAGACAATTACATTTCATCATCTGCATTCGTTTTTATTTCATCATCGACCGTCCGATCTTGGTCTAAAAAAAGTTGCGCTTCTGTCATAGTAAATTAAAAAAAAGTAATAAAGATAAGGACAAGATAGAATAATAAGTGAAGAAAAGCTGAAGAAGATTTGTCAATTGTTATTTATGCATAACTATCGATAACAAATGGTATCTTATCGAATGAACATAAATGCAATAAGATACCAACGATTGTAGAATATCTAGGATGAAATCTACACGATCAAATACGGTGTCTAGACAGTAATATCAGTACATGAGGTCGACTCAAAGAAGACCCGAAATATTTCATCGCGGCTTCGTCGGTCAAGCTGATCGGAAAGCGGCATGATTCGCCGCCAATATTCTGGCGTACGGGTAAGCGCTTCGAAGAAGAACAAAGATATCGCTGCGGTAACTCTAGGTAGCTCTCAAAGGTGAAGACAGACGTCGGGTTGGAAGACGTCGGGAGAGAACTAAAAATATCAGCCGGTTCCGCGGTTGGTCGACGAGACTAACGCGGCTCCGCCACGTCGTATTTCCACGCTAAAGGCAATTTTACCGGCTGGAAAAGATGAGAGTGATATCTCTCCGTGTGCGGCGATGAAAACTGGGCTCGTCTTTAATCTCGGGGTAAACTATCAGCCGCGATCGTCGTTAAAGAGCTCGTTGACAGACCGGACATTGATGAGAGAGAGACTCGATCACGAGATCCTTATAGCGAACCCGTTGTCATCATCTATTACCCCATCTACTACCATTCATCGTCTGCTACTGATGCTATAAACGCATCGAAGATCGCGAGGATGATTGGAATGTCAAGCCAGAAGCTATCGGCGTCTTCGTCACATCTATTCGCGAATTTGGGACGACCTTGATACATCGACGAGCTTCGTTCGCACGTTGAACAATTTCGGCGCTATTTATTCTTTCGGACACACCAGGGTAAGATTTCGCTTGTTGGTGCACGTTATTTAGGGATTCGAAAGCACATTGCAGCTCGCGTTCTCCAGGGGCGAGACATGTCAAGCGCGATCTTTTGATCTTGTAACGATTTGCACGCGAGAATAAGACGTCAAACAGAGTCGGAAATAACTAAAATGCATGAAATGTGCTTGCATTCTTTTTTTACGCTAGTCGGTTTGAAGAAATGTAAACTCTGCTGTGTTATAATTAAATCCAGTTTCTTATACATATAAAGACAACTTCTGCAAATATACAAGTAATTAATTGTCTTAATTTATATTTACCACTATAAGAAGCTAATTCTCTTCTATCTCAATCATATGTTGTCTGAAAGGAGATCTGTCTATCGGTTTTCATAGCGACTGATCGACGCCTCCAGACTTAGGACCCAGGGTCAAGGCCAAAAGCTACCACGCGACGGATTCGAGACGCAGAAGGACTCGGTGTGCTTCGAAAAGCTCCGAATCTATATCCCCGGGGACCATCTCTTTCATCGACGCGGTCGTTTGAAATTCTTCGCGCCCGGAGTCGCGCCCGTATTTATAGACCTGCGTGTGGCGGCGCGTAGGGCCGCGTACACGCGTTTTACGCACGCGGCTCTCCTTCCTCTCGAAGGTGAATAAATAAGTGAAGTAGGTACACGCGCAGAGCCGGCGAACCGAGCCACGTCACAGTGAGGGCCCGCACACGTCCGTAAAGAGCGAGCCACGTTCCGTCGTTTGCGATCATGACGCGATGCGTCCGCGACAAGAGCATCACCGGCCTGTCTCGTCGACGAGCGCGTCCTCGTCGCCGTCGAACTGTCTGCGCTGGTCGCCCCGCTGGCTGCGATCCGCCGAACCACTTCCGGGCATGATCGCAGCCGCCGCGATCCTCCGCGTTTTCGTCGTCCTACTCGCCCTCGGCCACGCGGTCGCCGTCGACGATCTGGTAAGTACTTTGTATTCATTTACGAGAAAAATTATTGCATTGCAAAAATCGTAAGCTATACCTTTAAAATTTTGCAATAGTTTTCTTCCCGAAAAATGTCCGTTTATTAGTCAGGAATAAAATGCTTTATATTCATCTACGATAAAAATTATTGCAATCGCAAAAATCGTAAGCTACCTTTAAAATTTTTTGCAATAGTTTTCTTCCCGAAAAATTTCCGTTTATTAGTCAGGAATAAAATACTTTATAGTATTTATCTACGATAAAAATTATTGCAATCGCAAAAATCGTAAGCTACCTTTAAAATTTTGCAATAGTTTTCTTCCCGAAAAATGTCCGTTTATTAGTCAGGAATAAAATGCTTTATATTCATCTACGATAAAAATTATTGCAATCGCAAAAATCGTAAGCTACCTTTAAAATTTTTTGCAAGTTTTCTTCCCGAAAAATTTCCGTTTATTAATCAGGAATAAAATGCTTTGTATTCATCTACGATAAAAATTATTGCAATCGCAAAAATCGTAAGCTACCTTTAAAATTTTTTGCAATAGTTTTCTTCCCGAAAAATTTCCGTTTATTAGTCAGGAATAAAATGCTTTGTATTCATCCACGATAAAAATTATTGCAATCGCAAAAATCGTAAGCTACCTTTAAAATTTTGCAATAGTTTTCTTCCCGAAAAATGTCCGTTTATTAGTCAGGAATAAAATGCTTTATATTCATCTACGATAAAAATTATTGCAATCGCAAAAATCGTAAGCTACCTTTAAAATTTTTTGCAATAGTTTTCTTCCCGAAAAATTTCCGTTTATTAGTCAGGAATAAAATGCTTTGTATTCATCCACGATAAAAATTATTGCAATCGCAAAAATCGTAAGCTACCTTTAAAATTTTGCAATAGTTTTCTTCCCGAAAAATTTTTGTTTATTAATTAGGAATACAATGCTTTGCATTTGTCCACGAAAAAATTATTGCAAAAATCTAAACTACCTTTAAAATTTTGCAATATAAGTTTCTTCCTAAAAAATTTCTGTTTATTAGTTAGAAATAAAATGTTAAATATAAAATATTAAAAATTAGAACCGTATTTAAATTGATTATAAATAAATTGTAGCGGTTAAAATTAGTATTAAAATATTACAGAATAAAAATGAGAAAAATATTAAAGAAGAAATATGAGATCATACACGCGCCGTAACGTAGTTTTTGCAGAATGCAGAATTTATGATGAATTTAAAATCGATTATTTATCGGATGAATGCTACATGAAAGTTAGAAGCTGCGCAGAATTACATCGTTAGTTGAAAAAGGCTCTGGCACTAACTGCAACATGGTAGACAATAGTTTTCACGATTGCAATGTATTTAGCCTCTGAAACTGTAGAAGTATCGACTTCGCATCATATTACGGGAAGTGAAGACTTTTCTGGCCGATCGAATATATTGATCGTAAAATCGTTTAGTCCGGGAAAATGGGATATTACACGTATCTTGTACCCAGCTAATGCACTATAATTTTGGATATTTAACGTGTACGAGTTTACTTAATTGCCTCGCCGAATCGTATCTGGTAATATTTAGCATCCAGTTAATATACATCGTAATTTCAGAAGCCGCGTGTAATTTCACATCCAAATTTGATGCAGAATAAATTAACATTAACCCGAATAATATAATTTTGCAGAATTACACTTCATTTAGAATTCTTATTACACTTATATATATCCTGTGCACATCCATTAATTATTCTTATAGCTCGATTAATAAATACTTTTAAATTTATCAAACAAAGCAAAGTCGGACATTCTAAAAATAATTTTCCATAATTATTACAATCGCTAATTATCTGCGTATTCAGTATAAAGAGAATATTGAAATGATACAAAACACATTTTTTAAAAATATACTCGAGCTAATGTAATACAATTTATCAACGATAAATTGGTAATTAGTGGATAGATTAAGGAAGACGAAAAGGTTCAAGAGGCCTCAAACACCGGTAAAGCATCGTGTCAGCAGGTACCCAGTAATGCTAATGCAATTACCGACCAAAGTGGAGAAACCTCGTTTTATCTAAGCACGCCAGGATAATTACTGTAATTTCGTTTCGTGACCATTCTTAGACTGCAATAATCATTCACAATTTCGAGGTTAATATGCCGACGCGTAAACTAGTTCTATTGCTAGCAAACTCCGGTAATAATATTGCTCGAAATCCTCATCCTGCGTTAATTGCTATGATTTAAAAAGAGTTACGTCCCGATCGCGGGAATAAACAAGGAATTTATATATTCCGAAAAACACAAGGTTCCGTTACGAGCAAAGCAGAAACACGGAGGCGCTGAAAATTATATGAACTTTGCGTGGGATGTGTGCGAACGTTACTTGGACAAACAATAATATACTATACTAGAAAAGAAAACGCGGAAGTATTATACTCTTTTATACTCAAATAGCAATTGTTCTTACGTAATGTAGAACATATGCATCCATTTCTTACACAGAGAGTTTACAAGAGTATGTTTATTTATTTTTCTCAAGCGCGACTGTAAAGCATGATTCACGTGGCATCTAAAATTTTGCATCGCGGCGGTCATCTCAAGCATCGCGATAACTTTTTATCGAATTTCGATGCGTGCTCAAACATGCCAATCTCTGCGATAAAATCTACGTAAATTATAGCATACGCGGGTTATATTTGGCTGGACTCCGATTCCTTCGACGCATATTGCAGCGACTTGTGATGTTATTGGGTATGAATGATATTACGTAATCGAATATTCGTAAAATATGTTTGCTCGTCTGGGTTATCGGGCCAAAAACGATCGTTCAGTTGTGTCGAATAATTCGCCGGCTAGGTATTGTCCGGGAAAATTTTACGAAGAAAAAGGTAAAAAGATGAATATATTTGTATGCATACAGACAATAGAGAAGTTAAGAAGCTGATAAGCATTTATCTAAATGTTCTCTTGTGCTTATCTGACTTTTGCGTATCGTCTAATAAGCCAATTTATAATACAGATGAACGTTACATCCCGTAGATGTTGGAAGAGTCTTTTACGTCTCGACTCGCGTCTTCTTGTCGGCTATAAATTCAAATTTGTTAAAAATAATCGAATAACAGATAGTTGTTTCCCTAATTTATATACGACGACAATAATATTGCGATCGCGTGATTTATTGAATAGTTTCTGCATTTTTTTTTCTAGCATTTTATCGCGATTCCTTTATTATTACATTGATTGAAGCTGATGCTTGTGAGTTAAATAGGAAATCCTGACGAGACTTAATTAATTTAAAGTTGTTCTTTCAGATTCCCTAATTTATATACGACGACAATAATATTGCGATCGCGTGATTTATTGAATAGTTTCTGCATTTTTTTTCTAGCATTTTATCGCGATTCCTTTATTATTACATTGATTGAAGCTGATGCTTGTAAGTTAAATAGGAAATCCTGACGAGACTTAATTAATTTAAAGTTGTTCTTTCAGATTATCTGTCAACATATTCCACTATGTAAATATTATCGATAAATTGAACACTTTTTGCAAACACTGTTAAATATTTTGGCATAATTTGTTTTCAAAACAATTTTAAATATATGCATATATCCTCGACGAAAATAATTTATGATTAATAAATTTAACGTAAAGAATTTCTGAGAAAAATAAAAATCTTGTAGAATGTTTTGTTAGCATAATAATCATAATACATCGCAAATATTATTTTTCACTGAATTCTTTGAAATTGTGAATTTACTTATAATTTTATGTAATTGCTTAATTTGACATTTATAAATATATGTTTCATGTAAATCATCATCTGCGTGCATATACATTATAAAACATTGAAAAAAAAAATCTATCACGTCAAAGAAACAAATCAATCAATCATATAATAATCATTTAATCACATGTACGTAATCATTCTTGCTTTCTACTGCGAGAGAGCAACGTGAGTTCACCTATACACCCTATATCTTCTTGACAACTCGTGAAGAAGCGTCTTCTGTCAAGCAAGCTCCGAAGTCGAAGGATCCCAGAGAGTAGAATCAATCGCGATGCAGATTTTCCAATTAACAGTCGCGTCTCCAATTAACAGTCAGCTTTGTAACGAGTGTGGTCGGAAAGGAGACGTTGCATCAATCTCTCGCTAAGCATCTCCCGACTTTCTAACCGCGTAGGTATCACTCGTCGACTCGGTTGACCTCGGCCGTGTTACGGGCAACCCATGGTGAAACTTCCTGTCGCGTTAGCCCCGGAGATACTCTATACGTTATTAGAGGATACCAAAAGATCCTATCGTAACATTCCTGCAACGACTGTTTTCGCTTTCCCGAATAGACAACCTTCGTCAGACATTATTGCGAACTTTGACGCCATCGATGAAGAAAGTTATTTTAAGATTTACGAACGATTTCTCCGCCTGTCACATTTGATAATCGGTTTTCTGCCGAGAAAATATCAGCTCGCAATCGCGTATGAAATATTGCTCTAATGTCACGTATCATTCCATGTTTTTTGATTTAGTACCGAGAGTGTTCTTTTCCTTTTTCATTAATTCGATGAATGCAATCACCCCCAAAATTAATATATTAAATTTTAACAAATTAATATATTGAAAAATTAATATTATAACTAATTAAAAAATTAATATATTGAACTTTATCTTAAAATAAAAATGTACTTACGTTTATTAACATTTTTTTACACTATATCTTTATGCATCCGAAGTAGTTCACATCGGCTCACTAAATTCACCGCGTTCGGCAAAGAATTGCTACTTTTCGATAACGATGGATGTTTCGAATACCACGTTCCAAGAGGTGTTTTAGAAAAAAAGCCCATGTGCCGCAAGTTAAATCGCCGGAGAAGCCGGCTCTTCTTTCGCGCTTCATTAAGCCAGGTAAAAAAATGTTCGAGTGCTTTTCAGCGGCGCAAGAACAACTACGGGAAAGACTGGAACGTCTCGTTGGCACCCTGTGGAGAATCCTCTCCC